GAAGAATTGTTTGTGATGACAGACAGGCCTGACAGGTTCAGTCGTTGTTTTTCGTTTGAACAGCCTTGTTTAAGTTATAGCTGATTTTTCCAACTATATATTCGCAAATTCGACTGCAAGTCAAAGTTAGGATCATATACAGAAGTTGCTAGTTATGATCCTTTATTAGAAAACGTTGCTCGACAGCCTGAGAAAGTATTTGTTTTCCAAGTGCTGTGAATGATGCATATTCATTTTTTGCTGTCGATATTGGATGCATGTTTTACTTTCTGGCAATTGCTGGGGTTAAGAAGGAAACAAATAATCTCCGTGGTCTAGGCACAGCAAACGTATGTCGACGATCTTACGTAAAAATAAGGGAATGTGACCAATCGAGGAAAAACAAGTACAATTGACCTTTCAGGGCAAAATGTACGAAAAATATAATGCTCCGATGACTCCTCATAGATCCTTTTAAAATAGGCTTGGACGTAAACGTTGCCAACTTCGTTGCCAGAGCTTTTCCTTAAGAAAATGGGAAAGCCCTGGGAACGAGGTTGAAAAGTTACGATCCAAGCCAAGTTTAGCTAATTTTAAAAGGATTTGTGTGGAGCCGTCAGAGCATAACGGTGTTTTATATATTTCCTCACCAATTTACACTGACAAGCTGACTTTTTGGCAAGGGCTTTTCTTTTTTTGCATCTCGTTCTTTCTGAATATGCCAACAGAGCCCTTAATTTCACAAATTTGAATTTTTTAACGCACGTCACACTTTCTTCTCTATTTTGACTGATATTAGCATTGCTATTTTAACATTCTAGCCTACTCTGCTCTAATTCACCTTCTGAGCGTCAGATTTCACGTGTAGTTTCACGTGACATTTGACGACCTTTGTTGTAAACAAACCCTCAAAGTTCGGACATTCGTTCTCTGCCACATACTGTACTTGTACGAACTACACTCGCTATTTCAAGTTTGCGTTAGTTTATAAATGTTATTTCCCTTTCGCTGTTTGAGACTCGAAACGTTTAAGGTTCAAAAATGTCTGAGCAGAAGAATAAGAGCGATTTTAAGGCCAAGAACATGGCAGAAGTTACGGCAGGAACGAGGAGTGCCTGCAATGGAAATTCCGGTCTCAGCAGCTGAAATGGTGTTAACATTGGAACTAAACCTCGAAAGAGATAGAACCGGTGATGTAGGCAAATTTCATGATACCTACATAATTCACATTTCAAAATTCATGATTACACGCGAAAGCTGAATCTATAAATAGAGTGAAAACGCTAACTCCGAAGCTGCCGGCGCGTTGCGTGACCACTGAAAGACGTCCGACCATCTGGTCGTCAGTGAAAACGGCCTACGAAAACAGACGTCTCTCCTTCCAGCCTGCCAACGCCCCCTAGAGACGAGGAACAAGGTGAGACGTCTGTAATTGCAGGCTAAACAGAAGTCAAGCCTAAATTCGAAATGCAGTAGTTCAAACGCTCTGTCAAAACCCCGGGGGGGGATTCCGTATATGAAAGGGGTTGGGATGCTCGTCGTCTCGCCTAGGGGTGTAAATTTCGGATTTTGGTCTAGCTTAGGGTGTTCTTGGCGAAACACTATTATTTTTAGCCGTAAACGTCTCTTTTAGGGTTGCAATCGAAGAAATATTAAAAAATTATATATTTTCAATTCGTTTTAAGTATTCGATTCATGTAATCAAAGTTTAACATAATCACTTTTAGAGGTCAAAAAAGGTTATGCCACGCCCAGATTGGTCTCCTTTAGGGGTTTAATTCAAAATTTCCGACGAGCATCCCCACCCCCTTCATATGCGGAGTCCCTCCCCCACCCCCGAGGGTCAAAAAATCAAGTAACTGATCTATATCTTTTAGCTCTTTATTCATGAGTAATGCTGGAGCGGATTTATGTTGACTGGTAGAAGGTAAATGGACTGTTGGATGACAACAAGAAGACGAAGGATGCAAAGAAACAGGCTTCTCAAATTTCTTCTTGTCGTTTTGGCTCTTACCGCGTTTCTTCACTTCATCGTATTACCAGCAGCCAGTGGAGGATACAACGATGAATGTTTTATCCCTGACGAAAAACGTCGAATTTTAAGGACCATGGTACAGAATATTTCGAAAGTATTTGACAAATATGATGTAAAATATTGGCTTGACTACGGTGAGTTCTTGCTCCATAAATAAATAAATGAATAAGTAAATGATACAGTCGAACCTTCATGTACGACCACCTCTCGTACGCGACCGCGGTCACTTTTCAGGGTGACGGTTTTGGCTAGAATTTCCCCCGGGGGAGAACTCCGCATATTAAAGGAGTGGGGATGCTCGTCGGAAATTTTGAATTAAACCCCTAAAGGAGACCGATTTCGGCGTGGCCGAAGCTTTTTCTGACCCCTAAAAGAGACCAAAAAAATATACATATCAAATATATATTGTTATATTTTTTCGCGTGCAACCCTAAACGAGACCTTCACGGCTAAATATGGTGACGTTTTGCCCAGAACACCCTAAGTGAGACCAAAATTCGAAATTTACGCCCCTAAGCGATAAGACGAGCATCCCCACCCCTTTCATATGCTGAGTCACCCCCCGGGGAATTTTCCATTGTTTTGAACCTCTTCTAAGCGACCACCTGACACAATGGTCTCACTCTGAGTTCACTGCATGGACTACGCTATTCAGAGTATATTATTGTATGAGAAGAACTTTTAGAAACAACATGGATTTACCCACATAAAAACGTAGAAATTGCATGCAATACTTTCTCTCCAAAAAGTACATGTGCCCGCACTTCTCCTCGTAAAAGACCTCCTGCAGTTCGACTCTCGTAAGCGACCGCCTCCTGTAAGCGACCACAAACTATTCACGTTTTAGGTAGTCTCCTACGGGAGGCAGGAGCGTAGCCAGCTTTTCGAATTCGGACTAGTAGTAGGCCTGGCTGACTTTCATTTCCACATACCCTAAAAATTTCACCGTCGCATGACTAGTACGCACTGACCTCACCAACACATTGACCTCTTATACTTTTTAGCTCTCCCCGAAAGCGCATAATTTATTACAAGCGGTAGAGTGATCAAACCAAAAATTTGTAGGCCCGGGCCTACATGTCTATAGGCTGGCTACACCCCTAAGAGATTCGATTGTAATATGCCATTTCCGAGTTCCCCCAGGCCTCTGTTTCAAAACGAGGGTAGGTGCTCAGTCTTTGATATGGAAATCATTTTTCATTCTCATGCAAATAAAACTCATTTTCACAAGAAAGGTTGTGCTCCTAGCCTCATTTTGAAAGTGAGGGTTTTTGGAACTCGGAAGTGACCTATTTACCAACGTTGTTACCTTCCTGTGTAGGGGTGGTTTTAATCTGTACTTTCTATTCAAAGGGGAGGGGTGACGGTTCGTTATTTGACCTATACGGGTATGTGACGCTGAACAGGGTATGGTTTTAAGGGGCTTAGGTCTTAAGAAGGGCTTCAGCGTCTTCAACAGGATGTGTTGTTGGACCGGAAGCTTTTAAAATGTGCGGTCTATAAATCTTTGTTACCAACAACTGTTTTTAACAAATCAAGTTCCATGGAGTTACTTTTATAAATTACTTAATTCTGTAAGCTAAAGGAAACGAATCAGGGTAATACCGATAAGGTCAATTGTCCTAAACAGGGTAGCTAAATGAACTATTTTTTCCTTAAAGAGCGTCAGGGTTTGAAGGCTTCGGTGGCACACCTCTACACAAACAGTCCCTTGATTGCCTGCCGGGTTTCTGTTACGAGACAGGGGTATAACGCGCATCACCTGATCAATTAATGATAGCTAATTATGATTGGTGTACTGTATACTGCCTCTTCCCAGAGATGTTCAGCACTGTGTTTTTCCAAAAGGTTATTTACCCTGCCGCTGGCCATGAAATTTTACAGCCACCTTTTAGTCATATTCAGTTTAAGTCGAATTTTTATATCATTTCCTAGTGCCTCATCTCGCCTCCAAAAATACCATTGACCATTTATAGCTTGAGTGAAAATCAAACCCCTGATTTAAAGTTCGCAATTCACTTAAATCCAACTCACTCTATTTTTCTTAAATGGGAAGTTTTATCCTTGCTTCAACACTTCGCCTGAGCAAGAGCCATAATAGGTCCTATTATGGCTCTTGGCATGAGGTTTAATTTCTTCGTGTTTGCTTGCCAATTTTTCTTTCCTAAAGGTGATGTCACACGGGACGATTCGCAACGACTATTTTTAGCGCAGCACAGCGTTGGAACATTGTTTCGAATAGCCTATAACATTGTTTCAACATCGCAACGATGTGTTGTGCTAAAAATCGTCGTTGCAAATCCTCCCGTGCGACATCACAGTAATAGTGATATATCGCCCCTTGTAAGGGAACCCAGGACAGTCTTGGATTCTGGATTCCACGTCGTGGATTCCGGATTCAAGGAACTGGATGCCGGATTCTTTGTCAGTAGAATTCGGATTCGAATTCAAATCGTTATTGGGATTCCAAAGCCTAGGATTTGGAATTCCACAAGAAAAATTTCCTGGATTCCGGATTCCACGGGCAAAGATTTTCCGGATTCCGATATTCGCATGGGGCAATACTTTGACTTCCTTTTCCTTGAATTCACATGCAGAAGAAAGCATGTCTTTTTCAACAGGGATTCTCTCTTAGCAGTAATGGATACTGTAATTTGACCCAATGATCAGCGCCTGCTCTCATTCCTGGGGCTTTTTGCAGGGAGGGAGGCTAGCACCAGAAAGATCCTAGAATTACGACGGATCAACGTAGCGCCAAACTTTTTCTGCATTTAGTTTACATGCAATGGGAGGTACTTGTCCCTAGTGCTAGAATCTTCCTAGTACTAGGAAGAGAGGATAGAAGATGCTAGTATTCGGGACAAATCAGACAAAAATGGCGGCGGGTCGTTTACTGGATAATCACGCTAAAAGAAGCTGACCATTTCGTTTTGCCTCACCACGAGCTGATAATTGTGATAATTATTAAGGCCAGTATAAAGAGAGTAGAGGAGCCCAAATTATAGAATGGGACCAGGCTCCGCATTGGCGGAAAAGGCGAGAAAGCGAGGTGAAACAGCAGAAAAATAAATCGCCGAACGAAGCGAGCCGATTTTTTTTTTCCGCCCCCTCCGATATTTCTTTAGAGAGATTAAGATTTACGTTTACGACAAACGGCAAACGTGAATTTGTACCACGTGACCAAGTTTTTCCCTTAATTGTCGTTTACTGTTTATCGTTTCAACTGAAAAAAATAAGTAGTTTCACGCCACTTTTATACATAACAATTGTTCTGAACAGTTTTTATTTTCTATTCTGAGAAATTCTCAACTTGAATCTGACGTTTGCCGTTCAGCATAAACGCGAATCTTTTTTTTCACCTTTTTCCTCCACTACGGAGCCTGGTTCCAGGATATTTTGGTTATGTAGTTCGCCATCTTAATTTCATCATCTCTTCTTGGGTACCACACAGACTGAAATTTCTGCATGTAAAACCCCCAAAAAGTTGTTTCGCCTTCTAAGTACTTCCTGGTACTAGAATTTTCCTCTCTCCATGTAAACAACCCCTTAAATTACTTCACCTCCCCTTAATCTAGGCTCGATTTCTGCCGATTGTTCGGGTCCGCCAGAGGAGAGAAGCGTGCGCTCATTTCCCGATCAGCGGCTGGTAATCGAGCCTTCCCTTGTAATAAATTATAATTTAATAATTTATGATGATTTATGACTAACAATAGACGACTGTTTAACTGTGACAATAGACGGATCGAAACGCACCAATTACTGATTACGAGTCTTCATAGCCAATAACATCACGGCTTAACTGACAGACGACCAATAACATCGCAAAGTAATTGACCAATCAGATCAATAACCAGAGTATAATACCATCAACTGACGTGATACAACTCACTTTCACTCTGAAGATGACTACCGCACAGGTTGTTGAAACGCCAGTTACTGTCAACAACAACAGTCCTATTCAGGACTACGTTCACCCGGACGATCAAACTCAACCAACTTTTAATAATTTATATTCGTAAATAAACTCTTTTTCTTTTTCAATCTTCCAGGGACACTTCTTGGCGCTTATCGCATGGGTGACGTTCTTCCCCACGACCATGACGCGGACATGTCATTTCTTGTGACTTCAAACATTTCTCAAGCCTTTCAGGAATTGGCCAAGTCCGGGATCGCAGCAGTGGGAATTAAAGCGAGATTCAATGGCGTGATACTTGACTTTGTGCCATGGAAACCTCAATATCGAACCACTCACGAAGGGACACAATTAATGCTGTATAAGTCATACCCTTCATACGTATTAGAAAATGATAACATCATGAATAGATATCATCATAAGTTAGAAACATTTCCATATTCCTGGGCGTTTCCCGCGGGGAGAATCAATTTTCACGGAGTCTCTGCTTCTGTCCCTCACTCACCAGAGAAGTTACTGTCCTTCCGATATCCTTATACCTTTGGCCTTTTTGGAGTGCGAATGCAAACGCCATATAAATGGAAGTGTTACATTCCGTGTTGGTTGAGAAAAAGCAATGGATGTTAGAGGGACTAGGGTGCTATTTTATGCAATTTCAGATCACAGAACTGAAAGAAATGTCAAAATTAGAGCAATTTTCGTATGACCTTGAATTAAAAACGCACGAATAAAACACAAACAACAAACGAACGGAAATAGAGTGATTTGATTGGTTTATCGAACGGATGCAAACACGCATGGCTTTTGGTTGGGTAAGGGAACGCTCGGCGGAGAAAAATTCATGCCCGAAGAACTTTTTAGAAATCAATCGATACTTTGCTTTGACGTCATACTGCAACAGTATTGGCCAATCGAACAATACCTTTTCCATATTAGCATTCCACTGGCTGATTAACATAACTAACGAACACTTACCAAAACCATTTTTCAGGTTCATACGAAAAACGGTCTATTGCTTCAAACTGTACAACAACACACCAAAATAAAGATCATAGGGTTCATAGTTTTTATTTTATAGACAACAAAAAGTTGTAGCTGATGGTGACACGACCCCTTTTTTGCCTATAAACACACGAGTGCCTCAGGGCACTATACTTGGACCCATCCGGTTTTCTGTAATGTTAAATGATATACATTCTGTTGATTCACACAGTTCCACATTGGTTAAGTTTGCGGATGACCTAACTTAAAGCGTTTTGGTAAAGGAAATCCAGGACCAAGCTCCCCAAGAAGTGCAAAACATACTCACTTGGACCCAGGACAACCTTATGACTATAAACCTTACTAAAACTAAGGAGAACGTTGTTAAGGGTAAAGTTGAGGGGCCCCTCCCACTGTCACTTTTGATATCAAACAGGAAGAATTTCTTAAGCTTTTAGGTGTTTATCTTCATAGTAATCCAACAAATTGGGACAAGCAAATTGACACCCTTATTAGCAAAGCAGGAGGCGTATGCACATATTACGAGTGTGCAAGAAATATGGCTATAGTCTAGACTCTCTACACCACCTCTTCTATAGTTTGATTATACTTATTTTTTCTTATGGCATTTCAGTATAGGATGTTGCTAGTTATGATAAGCATCTTTCCAAAATTGACAAGTTTCAGAAAAGAGCAGTTCGTTTTGGTTTCCTTGAGGAGATTTTAAACCCGTTTTAAGCCTTTGAGAGGCCTCAGATAATAAGTTATGGAAGAGTTAACTACTTCTACTGAAGGTCCTTTGGCGGATCTCCCACCACCCAGTAAACCAAGATTGCTAAGGAATCGTTTTATTCCTATGTTCTTCCTCAGATTAGGACCGAACGTTTCAAACGCTGTTTTATTAATAGATGCCTCTTCAATTTTATTTAATTGTCTATTGTAATCCAGAACGTTTTCTTTTTTGGAACTGATCCAGAGCTTTAATATTTTATATTTGTAGTAATAGATCCTTCCACGGTTTATTCGACTTTTGACTGAGACCAGTCAACACGGCTAAAACGAACGCCTTAAAATCAGCAAATGTGCCAAGTCTGAAAGAGATTTGTCACAAACTAATCACGATATAGCACCGCAAAGTCGCGTAATTTTATAGTACTTTCACGTGGTACTATTTATTGTGGGGGTATGTCCGAGCAACTCGCTCGTTACACTATGAGGTACCAGGAATTTACATCTTGGTCTTTATTCTTCTTTTACTTTTGCTAACCATCTTAACCTTCATACTTTTCGTCTCCACTCAATCCTTATTAACTAGCCAAATATAACTTTTATTAACTCTTTCACCGCCAAATGTAGCCAAAAGAAAATTTCGACCAAGTTTGCCAATTTCATTTGTGAAATTTTGAAAAACAAATATCGCAATGTGACAGTACGGGCGGAGAGCTTTCATTTGAATGGTCACATCATAGGATTTCGTCCACAGACTCGAAAGTTAGAGTCATCTTACAAACTCCGCCAAGTACTCTGGCAGTGAAGGGGTTAATAAGACGAGAGACTTCAACACGATCATCTTCAGACCGCGAAAAAATCTACTAATAATTCCTTTATCTTTCTGCAAAAAGAGGATCGGGTGAGAGTTGTAATTGAATAAGGAATGGGGTTCCAAATTTGGGAACCAATGCTCGTGAAAAAGGCAGATATTTTATTGGCTCTAGAGAACTTAGCTTTAAAAAATTCGTTAGAGATAGATCTTGCTCTGTAGTATGGACTCGTTAAAAACTAAAACGTGAAAAACATGATCTGCGAAAAACTATAAAACGCTGGTTAACACAACCAAACAGGAACCTCATGCAATGGGACTAATGAACCAAGGTCAGCCCGAACATCACGAACACGACCACTTATGACACAGTAGCATCTGACATTGGAAAGGGGCGGATCCAGAAAATTCAGAAAGGGGTGGCCGGAACACTTGCCCGCTTGCCAGCTATACAGATACTTTTTATTTTTCTGAGAATTCAATAAAAATAATACAAACTTTCAAAGAAGAAGGGGTGGCCACGACCCCTTCGGCCAACCTGTAAATCCGCCCTTGATGACAAGAAAAGAATATTCCAAATATGGCTTTAAACAAATTCGCGAGCTAAGCAAAATTCAAGTACAAGTAATTAAGATCAAAAGATCAAAACAGGAAAACACCAATGTGGACAAAATCAAGACTACCCTAGCTTGACTCTCTTAGTGAAACAAAAAGACAAGATGAGACAAATGCCACAACTATGAACATGAAAAATCCACTTACAATTTACTTGTAATGAGGCTATGTTCACATTATACAGGATAGCTCTTACGCCGGCACAAAAACATACCGAATAGGGCTTCTGTACACACATTACGCTCAGTTAAGTAGTCTGATAATTATCACAACCTATCGGTCTCACTACTTTCCACCAATTATACGGATACAAATGTTTCATGATTTCAATGCCATTTCTGGGAACTGAGATATTAAAGAATCCAAACTTCACTTTAGGCAAGGGTTGTTCGACTAAGTCAGTAGGAAATGTATGATAAAGTCTGTAGTTGAATGGTATCAACCAGGACTCGATACCAGGTCTCCTCATCATGCCATTATAATTATAAAACACAAACAAATCCAGTGATGGCCACTGGGCTCCTTCAGAGATAACAATTAGCGAACTCTGCCACAGTCTGTTTTCCACGGACAGCCCAAGAACCATAAAGATGGCTTTGAATTCTTCAAATGACGTTTGGCTGAATTGACCATCGCCATTAATAGCAAGATCAACATCGTCGTCCCACGGGAGGGGACCCTCGATACCTCGTAAAGGTCCCCATAAAGAGCCGTACATGAGCCAGCAATCGATCGCCATTTTTTCTAATATTGCATGTACTTTGTATGTCAGTTGAACCATCTGGTTTAAGTCTTGTTCAGAATTCTTGCATCTGGGCGATGGACTCCAGGGCTTATTCCCGGTGTATGTTCCTGGAGTCGTTACGTTTAGTTTTAGATACATAAACAGGCAAATAATTGTAAACAGCAAATATGTTCCGGCTTTTTTGCGGTTATT